GGTCATTGAAGTGCTTGAGATGGAACCAGGAGGTTTGGATTCCTATCATGCCACTAAAAGATGGCATGCCTGTAATTCCAATGTTGGAGAAGCAAAGACAGAAGAGCCTTTGGCCAGCCTGCCTAGCCAAACTGGTGAGCTCTGGATCACTGGGAAATAGTGTCTCAAAATACAAGGAGCAGGGCAATCAAGGAATACATGCAATGATGTCATCTGGCCTCCACACATGAGCACACACTAGCATGTAGACACACACACACAGAAAGAGAGAGAGGGGGAGAGAGAGAGAGAGAGAGAGAGAGAGAGAGAGAGAGAGAGAGAGAGAGAGAGAGAAGGAATTGAAGAGGCAGAACACATTGCCTTTTCTCTGCAACCCTTTTTCATATGTACCTTCAGATTCCTGAGAAAGAATATGACAGGCCCAGCTAGCATCACAGTTTGGAGGATGGGAGCACATCTTTAAAAATCAAACCTCTCTATTGATTCTTGATTACCCTATGTGCCACCTGGCATTGGTTCATGTGCTCCCTGTACACCTACTATGTGTGACTCTTGGAGTAAGTGATAAAACCACAATAGAGGTCACTGTCTGTGATTTACCTAACCAGTAGAGGCAGTAGAGAAGTTTCCTGCTGAGGACAGAGAACATGGCATTAGCCAGGAATGATCTATCTCATAAATATATTTTCTTATGCACATATTCAAATATAGCCAAATTATACCATATGCCAAACTGGAAAGTTATCTTTGAATGTGTAAAACATATGAAAGCTAGAAGGCTAAGCATCCAGGGAGTCTAAGTAGAAAATAACACATCCCCATTAAAAAATCTGTTTTCCTTAATTGGCAGTATTTCCCAGTGAGTTTCTTTTTATCCTTTCCAACAAAGAGCAAGTAAAGCAATTGACACCTGGGAAGCTTGGCAACACAGCAGCATGGGGGGATGAAGACCTGCACACCCTGGCTTGCCTCTGGCATGACACCAAACCAAGAGCTGACTGGATGCCTGAAAGACAACTGTTTTCCCTCTTACCTAAGCTGGGCTTTGAATTTAAATTTGTTTAAATAAGAACATTAACGTTGTAAGATTAGGAAGCCATGGCTGCGCAGAGTCTAGCATTTACAGACAGCTCAAAAAAGACAACTGCAGTGCATTAGAGTGAAAGTCTGTTTTTAACTATAGCTATTTTAAAGAAGAGGAGGAGGAGGAGGTGGTGTCAGTGGTGGTAGTTGCAGTTGTACTGTGGTTTGGAAAGATGACTCAGGGCTTGCCCTGAATTCTCTAAGGAATGGATTCACTAAGATCTTTTTGCTCTTTTTATTTTCTCCTATGTTTGTCATCCATCATTTTCTCTCATGTGCAACAACTTTTTGGATTATGAGCCACTAAGAGCAAAGTCTTCACTAGCCCTACTGGGTATTGGTAGAGCACTTTCCCAGGAAATCCTTTAAATCTGTTATTGGTACAGATGATGCTGGAAGGGTCAACCTGCCTGAGTTTGTTTCTTGGGTTTGGTAGTGAAGCAGTTAAGAGAAAGTACAATGTCCCCTGGTGCATCTTGGTTTGAATCCATGATGATCAAATCTAGAGCATGATGACAGTCACGAGGAATATTGATGGTAACATGGAGGGTTTTTGTCTCAAATGGGAAAGCAGAGAACAAGGGGTGAGTTTTCTCTACCTCCCTTCACTGTGAGGCTGTACACCTCTGAATTTGGCTTTATCTGTTAAGCTCCTGAATAGTCTCACCATCTCCCACTGTTTGAACTCAGAGGTCCATTGTGCATGAGACCCTTCCCCTTAGGCATCATTTGAAGTCTTTTCTTTTGTTCATCCTTATCAGTACAGGGTCACCAATGGTTGTCATATGTATGGCCCAATTCCTCAATGATCTTGTATTTCAAGCTCAGGACCTTCTTGCAAGGTGTCAGTCATTGTATTATGGCTAAAAGGAGAGAGGGTTCAGGGCACTCTGCCTTGGCTGCTTCATTTGTTTGTTGCCATGGAATCAGAAAGTCTCAGGTACAGACCAGTTGGCAGAGCTTGCTTAGAATGTATAAAGCCCTGGAGTCAATCTCTTAAACTGTTTAGATCCAATGTGGAGCTACATGGATGCCAGCATTACACATAAGGAGGCAAGATGACCATAAGATCAAGGTCATGCTTAGTATACCTACATAGCATGTGATGGGAGATGTCATTCTGTATATGTTTCTCTTATTGGTTAATGAATAAAGCACTGTTGGCCAATTGGGAAGCAAGATAGGTGGGTTTTGGGAGATGTCATTCTGTAAATATGTGTTTGATTGGTGTAAATAAAGCACTGTTGGCCAATAAGGAAGTAAGATAGGTAGGACTAGGAGTCTAGGAGGATTCTGGGGAATGTAGTGAACTGATAGGTCATCATTTAATCTCCTGGGAGCAACAGGCACTCAGGAGTGCATCCTCAAAAAGGTAAGTCCTTATAAAAAATATGTATTAGTAATTATGGGTAAATAATCAAGCCAGAGCTAGCAGATAAGAAACCAAGCAAACGGCCAACAGCTTCATAATTAATACAGAGTCTTTTGTGTTATTTGGGGGCTAAAGTGGCAATGGATCCCAGGTGGGATCCCACAACAGGTGGGAGTAGGAGAGGTGGAGCATTCTGGGAAACATAGGCAGAGTCAGTCATCATGTAGGATGCCAGAGGAGTAACATGTCTCCAGACATTTCTCCAGTAAGACAAGACCATGTGGAAATACTTAGATATAGAAATGGGTTAGTAATTAAGACAGAGCTAGCCAATATGAAGCACTAGTCAATGGTCAATAGATTTTTACTAATATAGTGTCTGTGCCCTTCATTTGGGTCTCAAGGTCAGCAGGACCTGCTTGGCCAGAAAGCTCACATTACAAGCAAGTTCAAGACCAGGTTGGGATACATGAAAGCATGTGCAAAGAAGAAAACAAAGCAGTAATAAGAGCAACAACAAAACTAGAAGGAAAATTATTTTCCAAACTAAGGAAAGCTTAGTTTTGATTCTCAAAAACCTTGCATCTGTCTTTGGGTTTATTGTTTCCATCTTTATTCTTTCCACGTGGCTTGAGTCACATTTACTATACATATTTCATCTACAAACCTTGCCAATGCAAAGCCCTTTACAATATTTCAGGCAAATTTCAAATTTCAGAAATTCTACTTGTTTTCAGTAAGATTTCCTCCCTCCACCACCCCAAAGACTCATGTTTCAGAGATTTGTTAATGAAAATGTAACACTATTTCAAGCGACTGGACCTGGAGGACACTGACTACATCAGGGGTTAGTCCATTCATGTGTTCACATAGTAGGTTGTAGGTGATGGAATACGGTTGGTGGAAGCAGCCATGGGGCATGGTTTAGAAAAGTACTTAATATCCAAGGCTTCTTGCCCTCCTCCCCTCTCCCTTACCCTCTCCCCTTTTTCTCCTCTTTTGCTTCCTTTCTCTTTCAATTACTTGTTCATTGTATTTCTCTTGTCTCTAAAGGTCTTCCTTCTCTTACTGTTCTCTCAACTTCTCTCTTCTTTGACTTTCTCTCCTTTTCTCTGTCTTCCTTTCCTCTCTCTCTCCGTTTGTATCTTTCTGTCCTTTTTTCTCCCTCTCCTTCTCCCTCTCCCAGGCACAATGAGATGAGCTATTCTCCTGCCATCATATTCTGTCCTCACCATGGCTCAAGAACAACAGAACTAAGGGAACAAGGGATGAAACCATTTAAATCCCCCTCCTTCTAAATTTCTCTCTTAGGTATCTTGTCACTACCATGGGAGGCAGGCAAATCTATAAGGTGTGATCCAATAATTGCTTCTGAATTGCACATGTGCAGACTCCTTGAGTTATAGAGTATAACAACTACATTCATGAAAGTTGCCTTGTGTTGCATGTGAGAAATTCACAAAATATTTAATGGATAACAAGGTATCTGGGAATGTTTGTTTCTATGCTTTATTTCAAGTAAGAAACAAACTCAGTTTTCACATTCTGGTGTCTGCATGGATGCTGGAGCCAAACAAGGATGATGACAGGGATGCCAGACCCATCAGGGATAATGACAATGATGCTGGAGCCAATCAGGGGTGATGACAGGGATGCTGGAGCCAATCAGACATATCAGCAGTCTGGAAGGTCTGTCCGTAAATCAGCCTGTATTTACTTTGTAAAATGTTCCCACTGTGATGCAGTTCTGGACAGCCACATAGATGAAGGCAATGAGGTTTTAGGTTCATGTATCCTGATGTGTTTGACAGTTGCTTTTCTATACGGTTTTAGTGAAAGGAAACCATTGAAATTGTGATTGTTCATAAGGTCATCATTGGATGTACATATGTGTATGTGCATGGTCAGAGGATAGCCCTAGCTATATTTCTCAAGTACCATCCACTTACCTGTGTAGAGCTCACTGGTTAGCCTATATGGCAGGCAGCTTGGGGAACTACCTGTTTTTACCCCCTAGAGCTGCCATCACTGCTCACCATCATGCCCATCTTTTTATACCAATTCTCGGTATTAAAGTCAGGTCAGGTGCTTTCAAGATTTACTAAACATTGTCTTACAACTGCCTACTCCCAGACAAAAGGGAAAGTGGGTCTCTACTCAAGGTCTGGTGTTCCCACACCATCCACTTACCTGTGTAGAGCTCACTGGTTAGCCTATATGGCAGGCAGCTTGGGGAACTACCTGTTTTTACCCCCTAGAGCTGCCATCACTGCTCACCATCATGCCCATCTTTTTATACCAATTCTTGGTATTAAAGTCAGGTCAGGTGCTTTCAAGACAAGCATTTTACCAACTGAGCTATCTCCAAGCCCTCAAGTTATACTTTTTGACACAGATAGTAGACAATGAGTAGGAACATGGAAATGTTAACTTGTTCATATAATAAACTTTTCCTATCTTTTTGTTCTTGAGTTTCACATTCTTAGAGAGAATGTTCTTTTAATGTTAGATTTTTAAAAAAATGATCCTCCTTGGAAAACTTTAATAGATTATTTGTAACAATTTACTTAAAATTAATCCATGGAAATCTTGGGCTAAACCATGCATTTTCTCCACATCTTTTCTTTGTCCTCCATCTTTCTTCTACTTTTTAAATACTCCTTTTTCTTTTCTCTTTTTCCTTTGGGTTCTTAAAAAGAAACAAAGAAAACTGAAATGTAATTTCTTCTGCAGTATTTTGTGTTGACACTGAAATGTTGGCCAGAAACAAGGCTGCTTTAAACATTCAAGAGTGTGCGCCTGTTTTCAATATGAACTGAGATGCAGGGGAAACATTTTGGACTCACTCAGCCTCAACCGCATTGCCTGCCAGGAACTCCACACAGCTGTGAAAGTCACTGATGAAAACTGGGATAATTCTTAGCAGAAACAGCTATGGAGTATCCTCACAAACAGAAAATAGAGGTGGGCACAATTAGCACAGTGAGTGGCATGTTTCTTTAGCTCTGTCTCTTTCCTTCCATCTTTAATAACAGGAAGAAAATGAGACAGCTCCACAGCCTACAGGAGGACAGCAGTAGAGATTGCTCACCTCGCATTTATGTCATTCGTACTCAAACTCAGTCCATTGTGGAGTTGTCAAGAGACTGAAGATATTTGAAAGTCAGGATAACCAAACCTGAGGAAGTAGTTCTCAGTGGAATCACACAGACCCGATCAAAGAGTGGGAAATTACAGTGCAGTAGTCTGTGTTAGGGTAGGAGAGGGTATGGGGTGGGCATTAATTTCCTCATCTATAAGTCCACATCTGTGACTTCAAGAACATGTTAGCAAAGGATAATAAGAATTGGGCGGGGTGCAGCTGGGCAAAAACAATAGAGCAAGATCATTGTGATCACAATAAAAATAAAAGCAGGTGGCAGCAGCCCCAGTCACTCTCATCCAGCACCTCTCCCCAATGTCTTATAGCATTACTGAAGGCTAACGATAAATTTCAAAATACCTTTTTCCCCTTGCAAGGGACTGGACTCAAAGGTTCACACATGCTATCCAATCGCTCTGCTGCCAACCGCATCCCCAGCTCAGGAGACCACTTCTTCTGAGATTCTGGATTTCTTTCATGCTCAACTCAAAAGACTGAAGGAGTGTTCTGTGGAGTACAGAAATGTCTGAAAGATAATTTATTGTTTTCCAACTCCAAATGGGAAAAATACTTGGAAGTTTAAGCAATATAGAATCCAAAAAGTTTGGTAAATTTTATAAACCATTTAAGAACTAGTACCTTAGCCAAAATTGACCAATAAGCAAGAAACAACTCATTTCTCGCAATAATGATTAAACTTCATATACACATCAACACTTTTAATTACCCGATGTTGATCTTTATACCTAGAGTCTCACGTGTTTGAACAATTGGCTCCCAGCTTCGTGGTGTGTTTGGAAAGCTTCTAGAACGTTTATTAGAGCCTTGATAAAGAAAGCATGTCACAAGGGGGGTGGGCTTTGAGGTCTGATATCCTGACCCCCCCTCTTCCTGTTCCTTCTCTCTGCTTCCTGAGTGCTGGGCCAACCTCAAACTCACATTACATGTGATGTGTGTGTCCCCCCTGCAACCCTGAGGCAAAATCAATCCTTTCCCCTGAAGTTGCTTCTGTCCGGCATTTTCTCACAATATCAGAAAAAGGAACTAAGACACACAATGAAACTATTTCCTGTTGCTACCTCCAGGGCTAGTCATGGCATCACGTGCGTCTGTGTCCATCCCCATCACTCAGCAGTCTTGCCGGCAGTATTGGGAGGACACATGCACGAGTGAGGACATTGTTGCTAGTTCAGTCTCTCTCAACCACATCTGCATTTATTACCAGCTCCCCTGTGCCTCAGTGCTGCCAGCATGAAAGAACCTGCAAATCCTTGAATCATTTCACCTGGGACTGAGGTAACTGGATAACAGTCTGTAAGTGAACATGAAATATGGAATATTTAGGTTCAAGGGAAACAAATGTTTTGGTTCTCCTTAAAAGCAAATGAGTTCATATTTACTTTTATATCTTTCACATTGGAAGAGACAAGGCTCCCCAAGGCAGATACAAGCAGGCGGTTTTGTTCATCATGGTGTCTTTGCTTAGAAGAGACAAGACTCCTCAAGGCAGATACAAGCAGGCAGTATTGTTCATCACGGTGTCTTTGCTGCAGTGAGCTATAAATACCTGCACCCCTGTCTTGAAGGAGTGCCATGGTAGATCATTTACATGCCTCTGGATCTTAAGGTGTTTATGAAGATCAGTTGTAAGTTGGTTGCTAAGATCAAGAACCCACTGAGACTGCTCTCTGCTCTTAAATGACAATTTGAAGAGTAGATAATCCTTACTAGTACCAGACTGGGACCTTCCTGACATGAAATACCATTAAAGTAGCAACAGCATTCTATTCTATTAATTTTTGGCTGCTGATCCCAATTCTCCTTCCACAGACGGATTATTTAGATATATTTTTCCTACCATGGAAAAACTGCCTTCAGCGTTTTTAAAAAATAGATTCTGTTACCATTTTTGTAAAATAAAAGTCAATCTATATTTTTCAGTATGTACATGAAACTTTGCTGTTTCCCCTTTCCTGGTCAGGCAGATCCCTGTCTGCATATGATCCCTGCCACCCAGGGCTCTGATAACATCCCCACTCTGTACCAGGCCATAGTGTGGGCTCTTGACTGTCTGAATTTGCAGCTGAGCAGTGACTGGACCATACTCTGTCAGTTTCTCTGCACAAACAAAGCAAGTGGTTTTCTTTGTTTGTTTTTGTTTTTGGTGTAAAAGGTGAAGCTGAGCTGATGACTCATTTGGTAAAGTGGTTGCCATAGCAACGTTATGATCTACTGTAATCCCAGGGCAGGGGAGTGGGGAGACAAGCAGATTCTTGGGGTTTGCAGGCCAGTGGGTCTACCTTGCATGCTGAGTTTCAGGTCAATGGGACAGCCTGACTCACCAAACATAGTGGAAGTCACCTGAGGAATAACAGCTGAGGTTGTCTCTGGCCGCTTCCTCTGCATGGGCAGACGTATACACACACACACACACACACACACACACACGGGGTCAGGGGCAAATGATGGCAAGATTTAGTGTGCTACTGAGAAACATAAAAACAAAAACTGAAATTTTAGCATTTAATTTGTGATCCTGTTTAAATGGAATCACTTATTAGATAGATGATTAGACACTTAGCCACTGTGGTGGATGAAATTAGAGACTTTGAACCTGAGCTTTGGAACTCCATCTCCTCCCCCAGGGGTGATGGCAAAGGGCTGTGTTTTTTTTTCCCCAAACTGCTCAGCGAGACTGGGCTACACACAGGATTAGCATTAACAGCCAGTCCTAGTTAGGCACCCTCATCACTTCCCCAGCTGACTTCAATCAACTTGGATGGAATTTAAGTGTAAGTACTAGATATTAAAATTTTAAATATATGCCTGCAGCACCTATAATTTAATTTAAAATTTGCAAAATACATTATCAAAGCTGGATACCTTACTTATTTAAAATAGTCATTTATAATAGTTCATATCGTTATTGTTTTGTGTGTGTAGTATGCGTGTGTGTGAGTGCATGCCTGTGGCTCCTGTAGGGGTCAGGATGTTCTGAGGCCAGAGGTTGTTGTCTAGTGTCTGCCTTGACCACCCTTCAACTTATACACTACTTGGATTGACTCTATTCTGCTCTACCTCAGTCTTCCATGGCTTCAGAGAGGTGTGAAGATATACAGGGAGATATGTGAGTATTTGCTCAAGCCATTGCTTGAATGCTATTTGATCCCTTCCCATCGGAGAAATCAATGACAGCTTGGAGAAACTATGGGAAGGTCAGTGGGAAGGAGGAAGACTCGGTGGTCTTTTACCCCCAGCCATCACAGACGTTATAACGCCTTTATCAAGTGACCCCCATCATCCTTTTTGGAGGAACACTGGAGTTTTATGAAAGTTCTATACCTGTGGGAAATCAGCGAGTAACCTTCCCTTTCTCTCCTTTTCCTGGTTCATAATTGGAAGCAATGCCGTTTAGTATCCAGCTAATTTGTGTAATGCAATCAGTGAGGGCAATGAGGCTAATTGAGTTGCCTTCATTTGGAAGGAAGCATCAGCAGGGGGAAGGTGTGTTACCGCCAACGGTGGCACAGACTGACCTCCAGGAGCCGCAGCCTGCTATTCTGTCTGGTGACTTCCATTCAGCCCACCTTCACATGCTTCCCCACTCACTTTCATTAAAGCACTGACGTGGGGACAGGGTAAAGCAAAGTTGGGGTTTGGGGAATGGAGGACGGGAGAGGAGCTGAGGATTGCAACATAAAGGTGACCTGTAAAGGGGACTATACAGAAATGCAGGACAAAAGCCACACAAAAGGGCTGAGAAACTGAATTGTGAGGTGATCATGGGATAAGAACTTCATGGAAGAAATATGGACTGGATAGTTGGAGCATGCTCTGTGAAGCACAGAGGCCAGAAATAGAGGCTCTGGATGAGGGACGTTTAGAGGTCACAGGAGAGGAGGTAGGTGGCTGAACAAGGGAGATGACAACAATCCTGTGGGTGACCTAGGGCCCAACAGACCAATGTGCTGAAATAAGCTTGAATCCTCTAGGTGCAAAAGAAATCCACCCAGTTGGTCAAAAGTACTTATGCACTTCTATTCTTTGCCACATTGTTTTCTGTCTGCTATAAATACGAGAATGGTAAGTGTTCTAGACTGAAGTGATACTGAGTACTACAGGCAGTACTGCAGTAGTAGTAAATACTATAGACTCAGCACTACAACAGTAATGGGTATGATATACTCAGTACTGCAGTAGTAGTAAATACTATAGACTCAGTACTACAACAGTAATGGGTATGATATAATCAGTACTGTAGTAGTAGTAAATACTATAGACTCAGTACTACAACAGTAATGGGTATGATATACTCAGCGCTACAGTAGTAGTAAATACTATAGACTCAGTACTACAACAGTAATGGGTATGATATACTCAGTACTGCAGGAGTAGTAAATACTACAGACTCAATAATGCAGTAATAATGAGTACTCCAGATTCAGTACGCAGTAGTAGCAAATACTGTGGATTCAGCACTGTGGTAATAATAGATACTACGAACTCGGTACTACAGCAATAATGAGTACTCAGATTTAGTATTATAGCAGTGGTAAATACTACAGACTCAGTACTACAGTAATAATAGATACTACAGACTCAGTACTGCAGTAATAATGGTATTGCAGACTCAGTACTATAAGTAATAATGAATACTGCAGATTCGGTATTGCAGATTCAGCACTGCAGTAATAACAAAAACTGTAGACTCAGCACTGCAGTAATAATAGGTACTACAAACTCGGTACCACAGCAATAATGAATATTCAGATTTGGTACTGTAGCAGTGGTAAATACTACAGACTCAGTACTACAGTAATAATAGATACTGCAGACTCAGTACTGCAGTAATAATGGTACTGCAGACTCAATGCTGTGGTGGTAAATACTACAGACTCAGTACTATAAGTAATAATGGTCACTACAGACTTAGTATTATAGAAGTAGTAAATACTACAGACTCAGTACTGCAGTAATAATGAGTACTGCAGATTCGGTACTGAAGATTCAGCACTGCAGTAGTAGCAAATACTGTAGACTCAGCACTGCAGTAATAATAGGTACTACAGACTTGGTACCACAGCAATAATGAATATTCAGATTTGGTACTGTAGCAGTGGTAAATACTACAGACTCAGTACTATAGTAATAATAGATACTGCAGACTCAGTACTGCAGTAATAATGGTACTGCAGATTCATTAATGCAGAGGTGGTACATTCTACAGACTCAGTGCTATAAGTAATAATGGGCACTACAGACTCAGTATTGCAGTAGTGGTAAATACTACAGGCTCAGTACTGCAGTAGCAATGAGTACTCCAGACTGGGTTTACACAGTAGTGCTGAATACTAAAACTCTGGACTGTAGTACTGACGAGTCTACAGACCCATACTATTACTGGTAGGATTCTGAACTGGTCCAAGTGTTGAGAACAAAGAACCACTGAGTACTCACTCATCCGTAAATATGACATGTCTATCACCCACTCCAAGACCCAGAAAATGCTGCAGGAAAGGGAGCCGAAGATGGCTATGAACTGTTGTCATATTAGGATGTCTCAGCCAGAGCCATCATGAACACAGCAGCTGTGGTCACCTGCACAGGGCATGCATAAGACTATAAGAACTGACAGTAGAAGGGGAGCTGATTAGGAGGAAGGAGGGGTTAGCAGGAGAGGGATGATGAGTGTGTAGTGGGAGGGAATGTAACCACAGTACCATATATACAAGTACAAGATCCTCAAAAGCCATTCTAAAATTGAAAACATCAATGACAGATGAAGTCTCGATCCTGAATGCCTATTGTTAAGAGAAGCTTTTTCTTTGCTAGCCGCTTTGGTTTATCACCTGCCAGTCGCCTGGGCTCTGCCACATTGTAGTCCCCAAATAAACACACAAGACGCTGTATTAATTATGAAGCTGTTGGCCTTGCTTGTTTCTTACTGGCTAGCTCTGACTTAAGTAATTACCCCATAATTGTTAATCTAAGTATGTCTCTTACCGGAGAATAGTTCCGGGCTCCTACCCCATGGCGTTACATCTCGAACTCTCTTGTGTTTCTCCTTCCCAGAATCCTCCTGGACTCCTAGCCCCACCTATCTAGACTCCTATTGGCCAGCAGTAATTTATTGATATATACACAGGACTTCCCCAACATCTCCTCTTTTCTGTTTAAACAAAAAGAAAGGTCTTAACTTTAACATAGTCAAATTGTATATGACACAACAGTTATCAAGTAAGAACACTGTTACAACATTTTGTCTATTAATATCCATCCCATCCTTGTGAGTCCAAAGTCCTATATGTAGCTTATCTTTTATCATAACTAAGGAAAACTATAATTATAACTATCTGTCTTCAACTCCATCAAAGACCACAGAAGGATAATATATAATCACTAGGATTGACAGAGACATCTTGCTACCTGGACAGTCACCCAAAGTTCCTCTGTAACGTTGGGGCATCCATCTTCAGCCCATAGGCCACAATGTGTCTGGAACACTTCTCAGCAAAGTAGGAAATTTTAAACTGTCCATCTGCATTGGCAGTCTGTCAGTCATTTTTCTGTGTCCTGCAGAAAGTCTGATAGACTCTTCCATGAAGCAGGAACCCTGTAAGACTGAATTCAGCAGTCACTTTCCTGTGGGTCCTGCATGTTCAGTTTGTACAGCAACAGTCAAACAGTCTAGGCAAGAGCAGTTTCTTGCCCAAATGGCTATTCTTGCCATGTTGAAAGCAAACACCATAACGAGTTTTTTCGATGCCCATCTTCCTCTCAGACATAATTGGTGCTGCCAGGAGCAGACATTTCTCATTGTCAAGAAAAACCCTAAACTATTTTAAATGCCATTTTCTGAAGGTCTTTGAGAGGTTTGAAGACTGTTTATCTATCTCAGAAATATTTCTGTATATCTAGAAAACCTAACTTACCTAACTACAAATTCTGACTATTAAAAGTAACTATCTATAGTCTGTATTCAATTATGCATTACGTTTTAAAAGATCAGTATAAGCACAATACTTAATCAAGAGGAGAAATATACATATCACAAAACTGACCTTGAATTTGTATCAATAAATGAAAAACAATAACCATACCATAATTCCCCTTTTTACCATTAAAAAATAGATTGGCTGTGATCACTAACCAATTATAAACAACCCCTTTAAATGAAAACAAAGATTTATAAACAAGATGGGAATCAGGACGTTGCTCATTCCAAACTGCTTCCTGCTGGAAGGGGGCGCTGTTCACACCATGGGGATCATGACAAAACTCAGAAACCTGTATAAGTCCTTATTTTCGGGGTCTGTAAAGCTGCATCATCTTAGCTGTCTCAATAGTTGGAACACCTGGTCCACTGCTTCCGGGGGTCTTGGTTTGTCAAACCACAGAAACCTGGAAGGAATCCTCAGCTTTTCATTTTCTGTAGAAACATAAGCAAAATCTCCTTTTCCAAGTAACATATCCTTATACTTAAATTTTGAAGTCAAGGTATTTTCAAAAGGTATAAGTTGAATTAATTAAGCAGCATTTATAATCAAGTGTACTTCAGTAGCTGTTCCTTCCTTAGCAATGAAAAAACTGAAAAACATAATAGTGTACAGTATCCAGACTCTCTGCGTATTTTCCATCTTTACGTGGCTTATTTATTTATATATTATTACTTCATTTATTTTAATTTATTTTTTCTGAGACAGGGTTTCTCTTTTGAAATCTGCCTGCCTCTGCCTCTGGAGTAAATCCTACCGGCGTGTGCCACCACAACGCTGGCTTTTGTATTTATTTACCACTTTGCCATTTCATTTTCTCTCTCAATCTCACGTATATTTTTAAACACACTGTAAACCTTTAGAGGTTTGTTCATCCAAGTCTGACTTTACTGTAAATCTTTACGTTTTTCTGGCCACGTGTCTTATCTGTTAAAACCGCGGCTGTTTTAAACTGCCGTTTCAAGATGGCGGGCATAAGCATGATTCCAGCTTACCGCTTCAGTCCATGTTGACATCCAGCAAAAGCTGTCACTTCCAGTTGTACGTACACACCTTTTAATTGTTAGTAGAGTCTCTTAAAACAACCTTGTTGTTTTTGTTTTGTTTTGTTTTTTCTTTTTATGCCGAGTCAGGAAGACTCCAGTAAGCGAGCCGCATGAATCTCGGCTTGTCGATAGCAAAACAGAGCACACCTGAGAAAAATGCTGCTACCAAAATCTGTGCTTCTCTCTGTTCTTCTGTTTCTAAAATTCCTTTAAAGCTTTTGTTATTTTGCGTGGAAATTCATGATCCCACTTCTGACACCATTCTGTTAAGAGAAGCTTTTTCTTTGCTAGCCGCTTTGGTTTATCACCTGCCAGTCGCCTGGGCTCTGCCACATTGTAGTCCCCAAATAAACACACAAGGCGCTGTATTAATTATGAAGCTGTTGGCCTTGCTTGTTTCTTACTGGCTAGCTCTGACTTAAGTAATTACCCCATAATTGTTAATCTAAGTATGTCTCTTACCGGAGAATAGTTCCGGGCTCCTACCCCATGGCGTTACATCTCGAACTCTCTTGTGTTTCTCCTTCCCAGAATCCTCCTGGACTCCTAGCCCCACCTATCTAGATTCCTATTGGCCAGCAGTAATTTATTGACATATACACGGGACTTCCCCAACACCTATGCTCCAAATACAAAGGCAGGTACAGAACTAAATAGATAATCCTCAATAGAGGAATCTAAAACGGCTGAAAGACAATTAGGAAAGTACTCAACATGCTAAGCCATCAAGGAAATGCAAATCAAAACAACCTTTAAGATACCGTTTTACACCTGTCAGAGTGACTAAAATAAAAAACACCAGTGACAGCTTATGCTAGAGAGGATGTGGCAAAAGGGGAACACTCCTCCATTGCTGGAGGCAGTGCAAACTTGTAAAGTCACTTTGGAAATCAGTATGGCTGTTTCTCAGGAAAATGGAAATCAGTCTACCACAAGATCCAGCAATTCCACTCTTAGGCATATACCCAAAAGATGCATATTCATACAACAAGGACATCTGTTCAACTATGTTCATAGCAACAGTATTTGTAATAGCCAGAACCTGGAAGTGACCTAGATGCCCCTCAATTGAAAAATGGATGAAAAAAATGTGGTACATTTACACAATGGATTACTACTCAGTGAAAAAAAATGAAATCTTGAAATCCTTGGGCAAACAAATGAAATTAGAAGAAATCATCCTGACTGAAGTAACTCAGACACAAAAAGACAAACATGGTGTGTACTCATTCATAAACGGATATTTGACATAGTGCAAAGGATAACCAGCCTACAATTCACAACCCCAGAGAAGCTGGGAAGCAATGAGGACCATAAGAGAGACATACATAGTCCCCCAGAGAAGGGAAAAGGGACAAGATCTCCTGATCAAATTTGTAGAACAGGGAGGAATGGGGAGGGAGTTAGGAGAAGAGGAAGAGTAGAACATGAGGGATCAGGAATATCTAGTTGGGGGAAGAATAGAGAACAAGAAAAGAGATAACCTTAATAGAGGGAGCCATTATAGGTTTAAAGAGAAATCTAGCACCAGGGAAATGTCCAGGGATCCACAAAGATGACCCCAACTAAGAATCTAAGCAATAGTGGAGAGGCTACCTTAAGTGCTCTTCCCCTATGTAGGCTTCAACGGACGCTGTAACGATACGCGACACACAATTACTGACAGTAAAGCTAAGTATTTAATGTAGAAAATTACTCACAAGATACCAAACCCAGAGGAGCCAAGCAGTTCTCAGCTAGCTGCCGGACCGGAAGCCGAACTCCAGGAAAAGAGACTGAGACTTCCTGTGTGCTGTCTTTTATACCTTCCCCCGTAACGCCCCCTAGCCATGCCCAAAGTGGGCCTGGCTAGTGACGTAGTTCCGCCTACGTACGTATATGTCTTTACGTCCAGCCGTATACGTCTTTAGTCCTGCCTAAAGTGGGTGTGGTTAGTGGTGTGGTAAACTGCCCTTTTATTACCTCATCTGTATGCGCCTCTAGTAAGTCACATGTTTAATGGCGGCATGCAGACTTCCTCCTACACCCTATAATGTGATTGATGACCTTCTTAAATGCCATCATAGAGGCTGATGGAAGTCAGAAGTAGAAGCAGAGATTCACAGCCAAACACTGAGCCAATCTCCTGGAATCCAGTTGTATACAGGGAAGAGTGATGAGCAAAGGTATCAAGGCCGTACTGGGGAAACCCACAGAAACAGGTGACCTGCGCATGTGGAAGCTCACTGCCTCCAGACTGACGGCTGGGGAACCAACATAACACCAAACCAGGCTCCCTGAACTGGGTTGTCAGTTGGGAGGCCTGGGCAGTCTATGGAGCCTCTGGCAGTGGAACCAGTATTTATGCCTAGTGCACGAATGGACTTTGGGAGCCCATTCCCTATGGAAGGATACCTAGATTCATTTGGGAGGGCCTAGGTACTGCCCCAAATGATGTATCAGGCTTTGATGATCCCTCATGGGAGGCCTCACCCTCCCTGAGGAGTGGATAGGGGTGGGGGGGGCTGGTAGGAGGCATGGTAGGATGGGAGGGAGAGGGAACTGGGATTGACATGTAAAATAATATTGTTTTTAATTTAAACAAAAAGTTTATTTTAGCAATGGCTTTACTTGGTAGTTCTGATTCCACTGCACCAAAACCCACTAAACTGTGTAAATAGGCTAACCCTATGCTGCATATCTAGGGAAATTTCACTAAAACATTCTAAACTAGTAGAAATAAATACATAGGAACTTTTCAATAAAATAATTCTCAAGATATCATCAGAGTTTAGGGAAATAAATTGTATTGAGAAACTGAAATTTGTGAAAGGAAAATATTTGGCTTCTTCCTAATCTATTGACAAATTTAACTTATAGAAATGGTAAATGCTAATTGTAATTGAATTATGAATGAAAATTCAAAAATATTTAAAGAGTTGAATTAAGGAATACAAAAAGTGGACATTATAACACTATAGTCATTAGCCACATCTACTGTCTGAAAAGGTATATGGCCAAAATTAAAATCATGTTAGTAAAAAGGCACCAATACTCTTGCATCCTTTTGGTTTTCTTTACCTGTGGCTGTGGTTTGACTTACAGCAGTTTAGCTGAATGAGGAAGCAGGCGCAAGAAATTGTGGCAATGACCCCATGAATTTTTGTGAGTCAGATCACTGGTCCTTCCAGAGACACTTCTGATAGCAGTCCATCCTTGTAAATTGGTCAGCTCTGAGTAAAATGGAGTTTAGCCTTTATTTCTGGGCATGTGAAGAAGTTTGGGTTCACATGAAAATAGGACTGTTTTCTTTCATAGACTTGATTTGGTTGAATAACTTTTTAAAGCAGACAAGTAAAAGAAAAAGAGCATTTCAACTTGACACTACTCTTTTCAAGTAAAAACGAAACACCTCATTTGAACCAAACAACATTGCAATATAACTACTCAGAATGCTTTAAGGGAACAAATATGAGTTGAAAGTATTAATATTAATAATAAAAATAAAAATAATTTACAGTGGGATTTTGAAATCCTAACGGGTTTCCTTTAAAAATAGAGTAAAAATTATAAATTCTTGAAAACAGTCACTACATGGGACTCTGGTCATTTACTTAGTGGCTTACCCATTCCTTGGTACAATGGTACGGTACTGAGGAGAAATGGGAGCATTTTTTTACATTGAAATCTCTTGATAATAAACAAAAATTAGCCTTAAGAATTGTAATTCATGAAAAATATCTTCCAAAATAATTACTACTGAAAAAGGCAATTTCCATAATCACATTTTTCTTAAAAGCATTTAAAACACATCCTTTCTTTGTTAACACTAGCTTATTTTTGTCTGATGTGTTTACTTCCACACACAAAAGCCATAGTAGATAGAATTCTGGGTTCCTCACTAGGACTGGTAATTTACTATTTATTCTCAGTGTTTGTTATGAAAAAAAAAAGAAATGCTATCTGAAAGGCAGCAATTAGTTAGTTGTGTGTGTCTGTTGTAAAAGCCTCTTGTAGAATGTCACTGTGTTTTACCAAAAAAGGAAGGGATTCTCTTTGCTGTTGAAGAACTGGTGAGGCTCTATGAATTGCAATGTCCTTCTGTGTGCTGACATCTGACTTCTGCCACCACACAGAGAAAAAGTAGGCAGAGTCAGGGTATGGCATGTAGCCACCAAAGGAGTAACACGCTGGAGCATCACTGGTTAATATGGTTTAATGAAACAATACTCCCTAAAATGATGGCCCAGCTGATCCAACATCCATGACAGCTTCAGCACTACTGGCTGAGATGACCAACCACAGAAAATAACCCAGTCAGAACTTGAACATTATTGTAGATTTGCTCAGGAACCCCATAAGTCTAAAAATAACTACACTCAAATTCACAAATATTATTTATAAATGTTAGTTTTCATTTAAGGGGATTAGTTATACATGGTTAATATTCACAATCAATGTCTTTCTAAAGAAAAAAAGAGGAGGTGATAGAGACGTGGATACTTTGCATTGGTATGGATTTTGGTTTATTGATACAAATTTATGGTCAATTTTGTTATACTACATATATTTCTACTCTTGTTTAAGGTGTTATCCTTATGCAGCTCATTTAAAATTTAATTTATAATTTAAAAATAGAGATTAAAGATAGTCATCTATAATAGTCAAAATTATAGACAAGATAGTTAGGTTTTCTGGATAAACTGAGAAATACTTCAGATGGATAGGTAATCCTCAAATACTACAGAATATGGCATTTAAAAGGTTTTAAGAACTTAGACTTTTCTCCTCAGTGAGACGCTTCTTCTCCTGGCAGCACCAATTTCTTCAGAAAGGATGATAGGCATCGAAGAAACTTGTTACGGAGTTTGCTTTAACGTGGCAGGGCTAGCCATTTGTGTAAGAAACTGCTCTTGCCCAGGTGCTTGATGGTGTGCTGTATGAATTGGACATACATGACCCACTGCTAAACTTGCCGAGATAAGATGGGATTGTCCTCCAGGGCTCCTGCTTCACAGAGGAAACTGCCAGATATTCTACAAGATATAGAAGAAAGCAACTGGCAAACTTTGCCAGTACAAGACAGGTCTTCAAATTTCGTGCTTCATCGAGAAATCTGCTATATACTCCAGGCATATAAGCTGAAGATGGATCCCAAATACTGTAGAAGAACTTGGGGTGACTGTCCATATAGCCAGATGTCTCTGTCATTTTCAGACTTTTGGAAGTTGCTTGAAATGCACTTCCTGTTTACGTAGATAATATTATATCCTGGGGTCTTTGATAGAGGTAAAGACAGATAACTATAGTTTTCCTTAGTTATGATAAAAGATAAACCAGATATTAAGCTTTAGACTCACAAAGATGGGCTAGATGATATATTGTTTTCTTTAGTCTTGCCAAATACAAGTGAACTAAATATTGTAACTATACTTCTTGCTGGATAACTGTTCTGTTATATATAATTTATGTTATTAAAGTTAAAGCCTTCCTTTTTAATTAGCAAAAGAGGGGAGATGATATGGGATATCTTTCTGTATGCTGTAAATATGTATTGCTTTTATTGGTTGATGAGTAAAGCTGTTTTGACCAATGGCCAGACAAAATATAGCTAGGTGGAAAATCTAAAGATACTGAGATAAGGAAGGTGGAGTCCATGAAATGCCATGTAGCCGTTGAAGGGGATTACCAGAGCATTACCAGTAAATCACAGCCTTGTATCAATACACAGATTAATGCAAATGGGTTAATTTGTGAGAGCTAGCCAGTAGTATGTCTAAGTCATTGGCCAAACAATTATGATTCATTATCCGTCTCTGAGTGGTTGTTTAATAAGCAGCTGTGGAGATTCAGACGGCAGGAGAGAAACCAGTTCAATGGGACCAGGAGAGACAGAGAAAAACTTCCAACTACAGTTCTGTCCCAGAGGCCTGAGTGTCTTTCCCTGGGGGTCACTGATACTATGGCTTTTCCTGATCCGGGGTCCTGAGAAGAAACTGAACGTGCAAGAATGGGGATGCTGGAGCTCCGTGTGTTGCAGCTGTGGAGCAGAGAAGGGACTCACTTGGGAGCTCCTGCACAGGAGAGGTCTCTCTTACAGACAGTGCCCCAGAGGACAGGAAACAAGTGTATCCCAGCCCTAGACATGGGGAGGAGCATCTGAGAGGCCCTAATATGCCTGCTGAGAGGACAGCCAAGGGAAAGAAGCCACGCTGAAACACCAGCTCCTGACAAAGGAAAAGGAAGCCTGAGTTCTAAGACCAACATCCCAACTTACCCAGACCTCAAAGCCATTTCTGCTGAGGAAGTGCAGAGAACCACCCTTGTGACCCAGCTAAGGAGGACTTCCCCACCAATGCCAGCAGCTTAGAATTGGCTCCAGGAAGAGGTCTTATGGCAGACTCACAAGACTTGCTAGGGCTATTCTTCAGCCAGTCCTCCCATGTTTTAAGAAGTGCTGGAAATTTCCAGTATCTAATCGCAACTGTTCTTCTAAAAAGAACATTGTCAGCCTCATCTATAGATCAAGTTTCCTCTTGAGGTCTAGGGATGTATTCTCTTTTGATTTGCATTGATAATGAAGAAATTCTTTGGGGTTACTTCATTCCACTGTGGTCTGACTCCAATTTCTTGTGTTACACAGGCTTTATTTTGGAAAGAGCTGCCATTGTCCAAGTATTTCTGAAGCTGTGTTTCTCTTCATATGTATTTTGGGTTGTATTATAGGTTTTTTTTTCCTCTGAATTTACTGTGTGTGTGTGTGTATGAAAT